TGGCCGTCTGGACCAGACATGTAGCCAGCATTCAGGCGAGAGCGCGATTCCAGAATAAATCGTGAGGAAGGCTCGGGCGAAACAGCTGCCCGACCGTCCCACTTGCGGGATTTGTATTCCATAATCCGCTAATCGAAACCTCTGGGGAAACTCCATTGGGGACAAAAACGAAAGAGAAAAAAGCCCAGAGCCCCCCCTTGTCTCCAATAAGTACATGCGCAGGCGTTCTTTGGGACCCCCTGTCTCCCGAGCCATATGGGCACATTGTCTTGGCAGATTACAACTCAAATCAAATCCAACCAACAACATGCAGAAACATCCACGGCGAAATTGTATCGCGGCGACTTTCTGCATGATGTTCGATCCATCGGTGACTCGGTCGCGAACTTGCAATCAATCGTGCTTTAGTCGCGCCTGTTTTCTTGTCTTGGCATCGCGTCTCTGGGCGAAGGGTGTCAAAGCGAACGCCTGAGTGTCAGAATGCGCGTCGCGAGCAAATGTTTGTGTAAGTGCATGCCGCGATTTGCGTTGTCATCGCAATTGTGGGTCGATCCCGCGTGCCAGTTTTTGCCCGCTTCGCTCGTTCTTCGGCCACACCGTGACCCCCTTCGCCGAAACAGCTCTAACGTTGTAGGGGCGACGCCCTCAGAAACGATAGACGTGGTGATCGTTTTCTTGTTCATTGTTTTGCCGATCGGCGCGGGCCCTTGTACCCCCCCCTCACTCCCCATGGATTAGATCCTGGCTGTTTCTGGCGCCTGCTTCGTGTAGGTGGAGTCTCCCCCATAGGAGGCACTGCTGCAAACAGTCGCACTGAGCAGAGGTCCAGAGCCAGACCCCCCCCCTCCTCCTCCTCCTCCTCCTCCCCCCTTCCGCCCAATGTCGAAACGCCGAATCAAAAAAATGTCACATGCGCGCGGCGCCCAGGCGTGGGGGGCCCTCTGCACTCCCTCCCGTTGCCCTCGTGCGGCCCCTTGTCGTGGTGGTCGGCTCGCGAACCGCTCGTGACCTGCTTGCTCGCGGCTTGCCTGTGGCCCCCCGTGGTCCGATCGCGGCCCTGTCGTGGCCTCGTCGCGCAAACCTCGTGGCAGTGGCACCTTCGAAGCTTCCACTTGAGCCCCTGGCTGCCGCTTCGCGACCCTCTCGTGGTCCCGTCGTGGCGCCCCCGCGCCCCCCTTGCGACTGCCCCGCGTGCGCCCCGTCGCCGCGTTCGCCCCGTCGCGGCCCGGTTCGTTGCCCTTTGCAGTTCCATCGTTGCTTTTTCTTGGTTTGCTCGCCGCTCGTCCGCGCGTCCGTCGCGCCCCCCCCCCCCTGCGGCCCATTGGTGGCCCTTGCGCAGCCCGCTCGCGGCCATGTCGTGGCCCCGTCGTGCCCCGCGCGTCACCAGTGCGTGGTTTTCTCGCGGCCGCCTTTCGGCCCTCGCGCGGCGCCCTCACCCCGCTCGTCGCGACTCCTCGCGGCGCGTTCGAGGGTCCTCGCGGCGCGCATCGACATTCATGCGCGCCCCGGCGCTCTGGATCGCTGGGCCGAGTTGCGCGCGACGGGCGACGGTATGTCACTGCTTCTTCGCCCCTCTTCCAGCCGCGAATGCAGGGTGCCAGTCGTGCAACCGTGGGTTGGCGGAGTCCATCGTTCTGATCGTTGGCGAGCAGTTCGGGCCTGGGCCTTTGCCCTCGGTGCCTCCGCACGCGCGCGAGCGAGCCTCAATGCGGTTCTTGGCGACGGGGCCACCCTAAGCCATGTGCATGGCGAATACGCGGCGCGCTCGGAATTGCGCGGGGTAATCGTATCCCCCACATCCTGAGTGGAGTTATTGTTTTTTTCTCTGGCCGCCCCGCGTAGTCCTCCCACCCATACCCTCATCATCACCTCGCACTCATCAAGACCTTTGCACCATCACCTCTCACACGCATCACGATCACATTCATCTTCGTCGTTACCATCACCACATCACCATCGTCATCATCACTACCGCCATCAGTCACTTCCTCACTCACTCTCCAGCACTATCCTTTAATTCTCGCTTCTCAGTCACTCACCCGCTCGTAAATACGGTCCACTTCTCATCATCATGTTCACCACCGTCGTCATCATCATCACTATTACCATCCCATCATGGTCATTAACCACCGTTCGTCATCATTTTCATCAGCGTCAGCATCCCCACCATCATCATCATCATCATCACCATCATCATCAGCATCATCACCAGCTTCATCATCATCATCATCATCATCGTCATCATCATCATCATCATCACCACCACCACCACCATCGCCAACATTGCACACACTCTTTCTTTCACCCGTTCACACATATACACTCACATGTTATTCTTGTTAGGGAGTCTCCAGCGGGAGCCTCATGTATGAATACATGTTGAGAACGTCTCAGGCAGAAGCCCCTCCCTATGGGGCCCGCATTGTATGTCATCAAGCCCAACGGGCCATTCTCAAACGGGTAATTGTCGTCAGTTTTGGGTTCCTCAGGTTTGGATATGGAGGAAGTCTCAAGCGGGAGTCTCGTCTGTGAGTGAATTGCTCGGAAGTTTCAGGCAGGCGCCCTTTCCCCATGTGGCCCGCATTCTACGTTAGCAACCCCAGCGGAACATTCTCAAACGTGTATTCGTCGTCATTTTAGCGCTCCACAGGCTTGAATATGGAAGAAGTCTCGAGCGGGAGCCTAGCCTGTGAGCGAATCACGAGGAAGTCTTGAACGGGAGCCCCTCCCTATGGGGTCCCCACTTCCAGGTTCGAACTCGAGCGGTCGCGATGAAGTCTCATGCGGGAGCCATTCCCTATGGGGCAAGGCAGTTCCTGTTCGAATCCAAGCGCTTCTTCAAATTGTTTATTGCTCGAATCCGGGTCATCGGGGCATGTCGGACGAGCAGAGGTGGCTGCACCTCTACGGCATGTTCTCCCATGCCACGCGCATGCGGAACATGCTGATGCTCCGGCTTCTCACGCTAGACTTCTTGGAGCGCGGATCGCAGGCGTCCTTGCATAAGATGCTTAGAGAGTCCGACGAGAGAGCGGACATCTCCAGGGCTGAGGCGGAGCAGTTCGCGGCAGAGCTCGGCTTCGCGTTGCTTCCCGCCTGAACGCGGCGGCGATTCGCTCGAGACCTGCGGGGTTGTCCCAAGGGCCTCCCCCCGTACACCACCCGTTCGCAGGGTTGTCCCAAAGGCCTACCCGCGGGTTTGCCCTAACGGTTTCGCCATGCAGCAATCAGAGAACGCGCGCGTGCTGGCAGAGGCGGCGGCGGGCAGAGGAATGTCGATTTGCGTGCCCTTGCATGAGAGGCGGGGGAGGAGGTGGATGGGGGATTGGGGCCAAAAGGACGAGGAGGCAACACAGAGGACGAAGGGCGGGCTCCCACGAGGACGAAAAATAAGAAAGGGCGATGAGTAAACAGGAACGTAGCCTCGGCATTCACAAGGATGACGATGAGGATCACTTGCAGAGTAGTTTGGGAGACTATCATGTTGGGCCCTTTTTCCGTCGGGGTGGCTTCATATTTTGTAGCAGAAACGCAACGTCAAATGGCGCTCGCAATTCGTCGGCAGCAACCGGGTGCTGAAGTTCTTGCAGCTGCGTCTCCGAGCTCTGAGGGGGGGCCTTCGGGGACCGCAGGACCAGCGAAACGGCCAGCGAGGAGGAAGCTGTCACGATGATGGGGTCGAGTTTCCAAGGGGGGGCCTCGCCCGTCGTGAGCAGGTCACGATGTCGAAGGTCCAGGTCCGTTTTCCTCCCGTCTCCTCCGTCCTCCTCGGCCCCCTCTTCGCCCTCGTGTTCCTCACCCTCCGCCCGCCCAGTTGCCGCACTCCTCGTGGGCCACAGGGTCTTCACATCCCCCACCCATCGCCATCATCATCGTCACCGGCGTGGTCAGCAACTTTCTCCATGTGTCCAATCCTTTTTCTGCTTTGGTCCTTCATCATCCGATTCCTTTAAGAACCCCTTCGCGTCCTCGTCCTCCTCACCCCTCCCGCCTCCGCCTGTTCTCCCTCGCCTTCCCTCCTCGGGGCGTGCCCCGTGAGTTCACTTGGGGCCAAGATGCCCAGCGTTTCCGCTGCGTGGTGCGCCTGTGTTCCAGCCAGCCCAATGATACCTCGGCTAGGCTCCCTTGTCCACTCCCGCATGGCACGGGGCATGTTGCGATGAGAGCAGGTCATTACATGGTTTGTGAACTTCGCAGTTTGCACTATTCGACAAATGTCCCACTCTTGCCACGGCAATGCTTACGCACAACGGCCTCTCCAACTTGCCGCGATCGATTGGGGCGTCGGTCATGTGTGTTTGGTCCAACGCGAAATCTGTATCATTGGGACATGTGGTTCCCGCTACCCTCCGACTCTGTCACGAGTCAGGGGGTTCAACGGCTGTGGATCCCCTCCTGGCGTTGGTTTTTCGCCTTCAAGTTGCATTTACGTGCTGGATGTATGTGCGCTGGCGGCATGTGCGTCTCTGCGTGCCTCCTGCTTCGAACTGCAAGTCGCACGGTGATGAATCCGATGTAGCTTATGTTGTTTGTGGCGGTCGTGGTTCTACTGGGAAGGATGGGCAAAGTGTCCCAGCTTCGTGGCAAATTCGTGCTACTGATCCTTGCGTGTCACCCTTTCCTTGCAGGCAGGCCAGTCCAGCATCCAGCGTCCAGCATCCAGCACCAAAACCCTCTCGCCCCCTGTCCACCCTCTCTCCTGCCCCTCCGCCTCGTCCTCCTCCCCTTCCTCTCCGCTCATCCCCGTTCTCCTCTGCCGCCGCCGCCATCTCCCCACATCGAGCTCCGATTCCGCCTTCTCACCGCACTCCGCCTCCGCATCCTCCTCCCTCCGCCTCCTCTCCTTCCCCCTCCTCATCTTCCTCCCCATCATCCTGTTGCTGCCGATGCTGGCATCAAGGTCGATGACGACGGTGTCACGCTCCTCCTCCTCCTCCTCCTCCTTCCTCCTCCTCCTCCTCCTCCTCCTCCTCTTGTCGGGGCGCTGGACGCTCCCCCAGGCGAGCGCGCTTTCCGCGGCCGAGCTGGTGGACCTTATCAAGGCGGCACGCTCTGCGGCAGTGAGGGAGGAATGGATTATAGGCCAGCTTGACAGCCTACTACGGGTGGACGCTGAACAGACTGGCCATCTGGCTCACAGGAGGAGGAGGAGGAGGAGGAGGAGGAGGAGGAGGAGGGGGAGGGGGAGGGGGAGCATGAGGAGGAGGAGGAGGAGGTGGAGGAGGAGACGGAGGAGGAAGAGGAGGAGATGGAGGAGGAGGAGGAGGCGGAGGAGGACGATGAGGAGGAGGAGGAGGAGGAGGAGGAGGAGGAGGTCCGTAGCCATTTTGGCTCAAGTCTAAACGTAACGAAGGGTGAAGCACCCGAGGTGTTGCGATTAGATTTGGCCCATCCGTCCTCGTTTCTCGAGTTGGATAGGGTCCCATTCTCTTGTTCCTGTTGTGGCCTCGCTCTGGCCGCAGCTACCCATCATCATTTCTCGTTCCGCGCCGTTTCGGCCCGCTTTCCTGCCCGCCCGAGCCCCTTCGTGGGCTCTCTCCATGCCTGGCGGTGCCGCGGATGGCCCCAGCGCTCCCAGGCTGCCGGCGCCCCCACGCGGCGCCACTCCCGTGGGAGATTCGCAGCGGAGCCGTGCCTGTGGCGAAGGTCGTTCGAGTTCGGGAGAACAACGCAGGTCTCGTTCAAAGGAACCAGTCCGAGGTGCCCCCGCGGAGGAGGACGAACGGAGCTCTCAGGCTGCTGCTTCTCGTCGCCCTGCTGCTGGTCAACGCTCTGCTGATCCGCTTCAAGGCCGCGCGAACCCCTGGGCTGCCAGCTCGGCTGCTACCTCTGGGGGGCCCTCCTCTGGCGGCTGTGATGCTGCTGCGGCCGCCGTCGCTCGTGGGGGCCTGGCACCTGACCAGCAGAGCTCCCTTGACGACCTCTTCAAAGCATTCAAGGATGAGATCTCGGCGTCTGTGGAAGCGAAGCTGGGCACGATCAAGACATCCATGATCTCGGAGATATCGAACCACTCCACTGGCTTGGTCAGAGCTGTGGCTGCGCGGCAGGATGCAGTTAATCAGCAGGTTCAGATCCAGCTCACTGATCTTCAAGCAAGAAGTGATGTGTTGGAACACTCGCAGCACGAGATGCGGAAGCAAATGGAGGAGATGCGGGAAGAATTGCACTGCCAAGAGAAGGCCATCCCGATCAAGGACTATGAGGACATGCAGGTGTGGGATCGCCAGCCAGACCCGACGGTGCTTATTGCGAGCTTGTCGGAGATTGCCAGCAAGGAGAAGGTCATCGCGGAGCTCTCTGAGTGGCTCTCTGAGGGAGGTATTTTGGATAATCAGTATAAGCTCATTGGCGACAGCCCCAGTAGGAAGTACATCATACAGGTGCTCGGCAATAGTGATGCTGCACAGCGCAAAGTTCGTGCGGCTAGACCGGCGCTCAAGCGGGATGCTCAGAACTGGAGGCAATTTGAAACGGATGCAGTGCCTGGTGGACGGGCAAAAATATTCGTGGGGCTGGACAAATCGGCCAGACAGATCAGAACGGAAGTACAAACAAAGCGCCTGGCGCCCTTTGTCAAAGACCAATTACCAAACAAGAGAATCAAGCATGACAGAGCCAAGGGAATCGTGTTCATCGACAGCATACCGACGATTACGGTCCAGACGGGTGACTCGTTCGAGTCCAAGAGCCGCTTGCTATGGAACTACACTGCAGTCACGTCGCAGGGAGTGGACCAGAAGGCGCTGCAGGATAAGTTCAATGCTACATTCAATGCGGTCGAGGACTCAGTGCAATGGTCGATTTAACAGGACATTGCAAGTTTGGAAAGAAGACTTCAAGAGAGGCATTCCACAACAGGTAGCTTTCATGACATGGAATACACGAGCGCTATTACATCACGATATGGGGCTGAGGACCAACAAATTTAACAAGCTGAGGGAGTTCTGCAAGAATATGTCTATTGCTGCGTTGCAGGAAGTTCATGGTACAAAGGAGGAGCTCAAGTCACACATGCATCTGAGAAGAATGGATATGGCCATATTTGCATCGATTCCTGAGCATGCGGCAGGTGGCGTGGCATTCATACTTCCAGAAATGACTCAGAATCAGATGGAAGAGGGGTTTGAAAATGAAAGGATTAGATATTCGGACATCATTTCAGGTCGGGTGCAAAGATTGGCTATCAAAGCAAGAGGAAACTTAGACAGGTCGGACACTATGCTGGTATGTTACAATATACACAATTATGGCCTCTCTGCACTCCAAGTCAATCAACTGACGAGCGGGATCAGGGCGGAAGTACAGATTGCGATGACTTGCCCAGACCATATGACGGTGGTGGTGTTAGGGGATCTCAACTACCACGAAGTCGCACCTACTCATCTACACGTCCCGCTCATCGACAAAGGTGTGGGCACTGACCCGCGTAGCCGTGAGCACGGGGAGCTCTTCTCACACGGGTTAGAAGACATGATTGAGCCTGACCCTGAGAGGCCAACGAATTTTGTGAAGGACGGACAGAAGTTGACGCAGATTGACCGAGTGATGATCTCTACCCCACAGTGGAAGCTACTGCATTGGAACATGACGGCTACTGTACCTGTGGAACCTGAGAGATTGGATGATGAAGGTATTTCGGATCACGCACCGGTGCAAGTGGTGTTTTATCCCAGACGTCGTAGGCCTCCTGAAGACCAGGTTGTTCCTCGTTTTGTCTGTGAGACGGCGGAGTACACGGAGATGCTGGACGAGCTGGTCAGCCACTCGGACATTGATCGGCTGCCGCCGATACCGCGATGGAGGGAGCTGCAAAGGTTGATGCGTGAGGCTGCGCGTGCCGCGAGGAATCGTCTCACTAGATTGGGCACCCCACCTCTGGAGGCTCGTCTGATGATTTTTAGATCGTGTGCCAGAGCGGTCCACGTCGATGATCTTGACCTGGCCAGGAAGCTCCTATCGAAAGCTGCTCTTGCGAGGGACCTCATGAGGATTGAAGAGGGCCCTGCCATCGTGGTTTCCCTGATAGACCCAATGCAGTTTCGTAGGCAGTATGAGCACTTGCAGCAAGAAGTGCTTGCCAGCCGTCTCGCCAGGGCCCAGGAAGAGGTCCAAGCGGAGTCGACGCCCTTTCTGGAGCGCAAGAGGCTGCGTGCGTTTATGAGGGCTGAACGGCGACGGGGAAAGCTCTGGGCTCCGAAAGGAAAGACTCTCCCCCTCCAGGGCCTTGTTGACCCCTCGGGCGAGACCCTCTCCTCCCCTCTCCTCATGAAAGAGGCGCTCAGAGAGCACTGGGCCCTCGTCACTGCGCCGCAGTCAGCCCCGTTTAAGCATTTAGATGCGTATCTGTCTAAGCACGTTAAGCAGTTTGACTGGTCGGATCTGAAGCCACCGTCAGAGGAGCAGCTACGCAATGCGCTCATCCATGCCTCTCCCACTGCTCCCGGCCCTGATGGGCTCCCGTACTCGGCGTGGAAGGGTGCGAAGGTAGCTGTGCCTGTGCTCAACGGTCTTCTTCTGGAACTCTTTTCGGGGCCCCCTCCCCCTCCTGAGTTGAACGGCTTGCTGCTGGTTTTCGCCCTCCAAGGGCAGGAAGGTGGAAGATGCGAGCTTTGTGGTTCGCGAGCCTACCACCACCAGACCCTTGGCCCTCAAAAACACTGACGTCAAGATTTTGTCAGCAGCATGCAAGCAGCGTCTAAAGCCGATCCTGTCAAAGGAGCTGCACAGCGACCAGCGTGGATTCGTGGCAGGAAGGAACTTTCTTGACAACATAACCCTGCTAGAGTCCTCAGCTAGGATTGCCAGCATGCCCCCCTCGGCGGCTACTAACCTTCCTCTTCTCCTTCTCCTCGACTTTGGCAATGCTTTCCCCTCTTTGATCCACATGTTTCTCTGGAGGGTTCTAGAGCTGGCAGGTCCCCCTGCAGGCTTTCGCCTCGCCCTGCATGCCACCTATGCCTTTGCGACGGCTCGTGTTGCACTTCAGGGATTGTTGCTCCCGTTCTGTTTAATTGACTCAGGGGTTATGCAGGGTGGCCCGTCCAGTGGCAGTTTGTGGGCGATGGCGATGGATCCTCTAATTCGGGACATGCGAAGCAGGCTTCGTGAGCATCCTGGGTCGGAGGTGGGGGTCTGCGCGGATGATGTGGGGGTGGCGGTGAGGGAGCTGGCGGCGTTTTCACGATTGTCGGGCACATTTTATGCTGCGCGTCTGCTAGCTGGCCTTTGGCTTAAAATCCCGAAGTGTCAGATCACCCCTGTCTCTGCCCCTCTCCCCCCCCCAGCTTGCTGAGCAGTTCCAGAGCAGATTGAGCAAGGTCGTTCCGAGTTGGGCAGCGATGCCAATTGTCTCAGCGGCGGAATATCTTGGGGTGTGGATCGGCCCAGCAGCGTCGAGAGAGTTGATGTGGCGTCGTGCGTTTCGTGAGTAGGTTGTGGTCGTCAAAGAATTAGCTGCGACTAAGGCCGCCCCCTCGATTGCCGTCACTTTGTATAACTCGAGAGCTGTGTCGAAGTTCAGCTACCTTCCCCAGCTCTCTCGCCTGCCACAGCCCGTTCTGAGATGGGAGTCGTGGGCTCTCCATAAGATCCTTCGCCTCCCTGCAGTCTCCTTTCCCCTGTCTCAACTGCTCGCCTTGCGACAATGGTCGAAGATTCGCCCGCAGTCTATGCTTGTTCAATCGCTCGCGGCTCTCCTGCGCACATCCAAGCAGACGATCTCAAAGTGGCGCTCGCTGTGGAAGGCCCAGCAGCAGGCGGCGAGATAGTTGTTGCCCATGAAGAAGTGGACCCAAGGCAAGTGGGAGCCAGACCACTGGATCGAGCCATCATATGCCCAGGAGCTTGCTGCCGCTGCTGATGGCTTTTCCTCCTCCCGCCGAATTGCCCGTCCTGTTGCTCTTGCCATGGATGCTCTAAGCGAGGCGCAGAGGCTCCAGGCTGCGGACGGGGGTCCTCCTGTCCCTGTTCAAAGGACGATCTCGAGGCACCTGGAGGC